AGTGTGGTTGGTGCTTACCTTCCAGAAGCTTCTGTGCGAGACCATGCAGGTGTGAGTGTGCAGACCTCGGACCCAGTGAAGGGAGGGGTGGCGGTTTCTGCTCCCCTTACCCCGGGCCGGGTGGTCTGTGTTCCTGGCTCTCCTCGAGCAGTCAGCTGGTATGTTGCAATCATTAGCAAAGGACCAGGTCCACAACAGGTGCTCCTTGCTTTCTGCCTCCTCATGCCTCCCCTATCTCAGTCACCTGGCTAAATGCCGCTGTCCTTCTTAGTCCGTGCTTCCTCCAAGAAGCCTGCTCTGATCCAGACCTTTTCTGCAGCCTCACCAGTTTGGGAACCTCAGCTCTGCACTCTGAGTCACTTCTGTGCTTCTCCTGTGTTGTAACATTCAACTAAAGTCTGCCTCCTGGCAGGCAGGGGACCTGTCATCACCACACCCTAGAGCCAGCATGGTGCCTGGTGCACCGTGGGTACACAGATGCTTGGAGTCACTGAAGGATGTAGCTCCCGAATGAATGCTATGATACATCTGTGGACATAGTGAGAGGTACGGCTGAGGGGCAGTTCCCAGGCTTGGCTGGGTCGGGTGGAGCACCCTAACTGTCACAGCCACTCAGCAGTGCTCTGGGAGCAGGGTCCCACTAGAACAGGCTGAGGGCCCAGGCACTGAGCAGAGGTTTGGAACGAGAGCAAAACTGCAATTTTTCTAAGCCCAGGCTTGGCTGGCTGTGCTTGGCAGCATCACCAGGCCTGCCAAGACCAGAGCCAGGACACAGTGCCTGCCCTTGGGGATTGTAGCTGGGCTGTCCAGCTTTGCAGCTGAACCTCACGCTTGGGTGGATGGTGGTGGGGACCAGGAGGGGGAGCAGGGCCAGGATATCACTGGGGACTCGCTCCTTTCAGCTTCTGGTTGGCAACCCGCACCCCTTGACTGGAGGGTTGGGGGCAGTGGGGGACTTGCCCTGGCTGGGTCTGTTGAGTGACATCTGGGGTCACATGGGGTGCATGGGCTGAGCAAGCTGAGCGGGGAAGGAGCCGGGGGGGTTCAGGTGTAGCAGCAGCCACCTCGGACTTGGGACAGTGCATGGAGAGCTGCAATAAGGCCAAGCCCCTCCCGTGCCTCAGACAGCAGAGCCTGTGCTACCCAGAGGCAGGGCCGTCATTGGAGGCCCCCTGGGCTCTGAATCCCACCAGTGTCGGCCACGGTCACCCACAGAACACAGCTCTTGGGCCTCGTCACAGGGAGGGGATGAGGAGGAGAGGTTTCCTGGTCAGATAACTTCAGGGAATGTGGGCAGCCAAGCTTCTTCACTGTGAGTATCTTGGCCCTTACCGTGCTGACTTGAGCAGTCAGTGCTCCAGGCGGGCTGCCTGTTCACACACTCCTGTGATGAGGGAGCGTTTGCGGGAACACAGCAAAAGGAAACCAAAAACACCCAGCCTACAGACCCGGCGCTGGATAGTCTGCCTTGATTAACATTGGCCTATTTACGGCCTTTGTGGTGGCCTGCGTCTCTCATAATCGCTGGTGGTGGTTTTCCCCTCACGTGTGACAGAGAGGCTATGCTGGGAACCCAGGCTGGGGACAGAGCCTCCCTGCCCATCCCCTGCTCATCCCCCAAACTTGGGCTTCAAGTAGCTGAACAGGTGCTGCGTTCTGGTGACACGACCAGAGGCAGTGTTTGGGGGGCCAGGCGCCTGAGCAGTTAAGGAACCAAGCCAAGGCCATTCTGGTAAGCACAGGGCAGTCCTGCTTGCAATGGGGTGTGCGTGTCAGTTGTCGATGGTCACGTCAGTACTAATTTGCAGTTGGTGGGTTTTGGATCCTATGGGAGATGAGCGTAAATTAAATGTGGGCGACTTGGGTGTTTGGGGCAGAGAACCGACTGAAGTTCATGGTTGTATTGTAGTCTGCCCTAGCCCTGGGCTTACAGCGTTTCATTCGTTCTGTGACTGCGTGTCACCTCTCTTCCATGTGCAGCTCTGAGGATACAGCATGAACACAGCAGAGGCCCAGCGAGCAGATACTTAAATAACGGCCGCTGGCTCCAGGCCACACATGCAAACACTCCTCCCTCTTAATCACAGGTTGTGCCCTGCAGGTTTCTGCCCCCCCGCCTTCCCATTCCGTTTTTCCTGTAGTGCCTCGCCAAGGATAAGGGCTTCATAAGTGTTTGTGTGATTGCACAGCAGCCAGTAAAGTGCACGGGGGTTTCAGTTCAAACCTGTATTGGATGACTCTTCATGGCATGTACCAGGTGGCAGGCTGAGGCACAGGGCTGTTTTGGATGCTGTGCCCGCCATCTCAGCCTCCCTGACAGGTGGCCTCTGCTTCTGGAAGGAGATCCTCTCTGTACCTGAGTGAGTGTTCGCCTCAGAGGAGAAGGTGAGAATGGGCTCTAGGCAGAGGGACTAAGCCAGCCAGAAGCCCAGCAGCGTGCCGGGGTGGGGGGCTGCTGGGGGCCCCAGTAATGGGCCTTCACACTAGTGCTCGGGCTGCTCTGCGGAGACCTGCCTCCAGGGGTGAGAGGCAGAGGACAGGAAGGTCTGAATAGACGTGGTGGGAACCAGGCAGTCTGGGACCTGCTGGGCTCTCACCAGCGTCCGGTTCTTTGGGTGGCTGCTTTCAGACCTTGGACCCCCAAGTCTGCTCCGCGCCATGCCCAGGTACAGTGTAGAGTTGTTCCCCCGCCAAATGGAACCCTTCCAGCTCCCACCTGGCCCCTGCCACATGGCCCTGACCTGCCCAGAGACACACAAGCAGTCAGTCCCTGTGGCTGGCCCTCCCGTGTGCCTGCCCGGCGGGCAGCATAGCCCCCGCTCCAGAAGGGGCACCTCGGCATCCACAGGCCCCTCCTCTCTGGTCCATCCCCACCAGCCCTGCACCCTTTCCTCCGCTGCCCCTGCCCCTCCCTGTCAGGTACTCAGCACCAGCGCTCTTCTTGGACCACAGGACAGCAAGCAGACAAGGCAGAGTCCCCACATCCTGGAGCTGATGCGCTAGTGGGGAGACGGACCACGAGCTCCCAGGCAGCATGGCGTGAAGAGGCAGGAGGCGACTTGGCTTGCCTGCCAGGCCAGGCTCCTTATAGAGAGTATAGTGCATTTAAGTCTCAGCAAAAATCAGCCGTTTTGTTGGCAGAACTAAAAAGTCTAGGGCTGGGGGTGGATTCAGCTCCCTCCACCTGAGCTCTGCTTCCAGCTGGATTGGCTCGCAACCCTGGCAGCCCTGGGGCTCTCCCTCAGCCCCCAACCCCCAGCTCCAGCAGAGAGCATGCCCCTTTCCCAGGAGCTCCAGTAAAAGCCCTGGATGCCCAGTGTCCCCTGGAGCCAAGCACACCACGGCCGGGCTCCATGTGAACCATGAGGCAGGGTGAGTGAGTCCCCAAAGAAAATGGGAGATTAGGAGGCAGGGATGGCCAAACCCTGGCTCCTTCCTGTGAGCCTGGGCCCCTTGCTGCTGCCCAAGAGTCAAGTGCAGGAGCTAGGCCAGGCCGGACTTCAGCCCCAGATGTTGGGCCGTTGGGGGAAAGGGTGTCTGGGATCCCTGTGGGTGTGGTGGGACAAGCTGCTGCTGTCCACCACGTCCCTGCAGCATCCCCTTCCTGTCATTGTCGCCTGGTATTAGGTGTGTGCATGCATTCATTCTTCCAAGGTGGCTGCCTGGGCAGCATATGGAGCCCCCTTGGCGGCTCTCCAGCACCCCCACCCCTCGCTGGTAGCCTGTGGTATTCACCCTGGTGTTCGCCGTCTGCACATGCTGAGGACTGTGGCACTGGGTCAGGCTCCGGGTGGCCTGGCCTCCATGAGCACGCTGCAGGGATAGTAGGCATCGCTGGGCTGTTGCCTGGTCGTCATTTTGGGGGTGGTAGCTGTCCTCCTAACCTGCCTCCCCACATCGTCTCCTCCCCAGTCACTGCGCTGCCCCCACTGCTTTGCATGCCTCAGTATGGCCTCAGCCGTCCTTGGGCTTCCGGGCTCTTCCCCTTGGACTTCAGCACAGCCACCTCTTCCCAGGACCGTTTCCCTGATGCTCTGACCAGCTCCCCACGTGTGTGCCGCCATGACTGTGAACGGCGCCCCTCCCCATAGCAGCCTGCCTGGGAGAGCAGGTCACGGCCACCTCTGCCCTCACTCTCTATCCCCAGGGCCTTGACTGCTGAAGGGGCCCTGAGCACACTGCAGCACTCAGGACTGCTCCCAGGGCCCGAGGCCATTAGTGAGGCAGGCGCCTTGCCTCCCCAGAGTTGTGGCCCCCTGGCTGGTGGTGGGGACAAGTGGCAGGCAGCTGTGGACTTGGCCACCCCTGGCTGGGAGACAGATGGTGCTGCCTGTGAACAGCTGGCGGCATGGCCCTGGTCCTGGCCCGTGACAGTGTCCCAAAGAGTGTCTTCCTTGAGCAGCAGCTGTGCGTGGCAGGCTGTCAGACTTCTCACAACTCTGTGAATTCTTTCTGTTTTTAACGGATACTCACTCAGCGATCCAGTTGGAACCTGGGGGGCTCCGCCAAAGTGAGCTCTCCAGAGTATGAGCGTGTGGGTGGAGATGGCACACTCGCCACCCCCGGCCCCACCTGACCTGCAAATTTGGAAAACATAATAATGAAGAACTAAAGTCTCCAACACTTGAAATTCCGGAGATGCCACATAAAGATCTGACATCTCTGCACCGCATCTCTGCAAGGCCACAGTTGGTGGCGCTGAATAATGGCCACCTCCACTCCCTGCAGCTTGCCACACTCCTTTGACCACTGACATGGAGTGTAGAAACCTTTTTGTTAGTGTATAATACACACACAGGGAAAAGTGCACCTGTCCTACCGTGAAGTGGTGGGGTTTCACCAGCTGAACACACCCACACCCCCACGTCGGAAACTTGTTTTCTAAGTGACTTGATGATCCTTGGAGTTTATAGTTTTATGTGGGCTTGTTTTTTGTTTTTAACTTATTTACTGTATGAATGTAGTGTTGGGGGGAAAAAAACCAATTTTTCTTTTTGCAGAAAAGCCTGCCATCGCTCCGCCCGTCTTTGTGTTTCAGAAGGATAAAGGACAAAAGGTAAGGGCCACTGTGTTCCCTCTCCAGCAGTCGCTCCGCCTGTTTCCTCCTCCCCAGGCTCCCCCAGCCTTTCAAGCCTTCACACTGAGCTGGGAGGATGGGTCCGTGGCTGTAGGTCACCGTGGCGACAGGTCAGGATGGACCTGTGTGGACAGAACTCGGAGGCCCTGCTTTAAAAACAGTGGCGGGAAGCTGCTTTTGAATTCCTAATGCTTTATTTTAAACATGCTCCTGTACATGAGGAAAACTAGTTGTAGACAAAGGTGGAAGGAAGCAGGGGAGGGAGAGAAGGAGGGAGAGGAGGGAGGTGAGAAAGAGAGACCAGTGGTGGCTAAGGGGGGAAACGGGGCCTTAGATTTTAGGGGGATTTTTTGGCTCCAGCCAAGCTGGCATTAATGCATTTAGAATGATTATTAGTTGGTTTGTATCGTGGGTTTACAGTCTACCTTTGTCAGGTTGCTTCTCTTCTTGGATTTTAAATTCTTGACTGCACGGCTGTTGGAAATGCTTTGCCTGGTTCATGGTGATGGGCTCCCAGCCTGTCAGAGGCCCAGCCACACAGCAGGGCATTCGACACCATGTGTCGTCTACCTTGAAGCCATTACTGGAGTATATCCCTCTCCGACAACTGCGTGTGGAAGGTTGGGGTTGTGTCCACAGCTGGTTGATGTTCTGTGGCAGTGCCTGCCAAGCTCGTATGAGGTCTCCCTGTTTGTCCAAAAAAAATGGTGGTCCCTCCGCACCTGTGCCCCAGGGCAGCCTGTGGAACTGAGTAACAGTTGCAAGATTTCAGAGGGACCAAAGTGCTGCTCAGATTTGGTGTGTTCTTAAATCTTTCTACATCTTTTTGATAAGAACAGAATTTGAGAATCTCATGGGCTCAGGGCTCCTGGTCCACAGGTGAGGTGCTCTGCTGATCCCCAGTCCCCTGGCAGGGTGGCTGGCTCAGGCTGGGGACTTCTGCTCTGTCAGGTTGGGACTTGGCAACCCAGCTTCTACTCGCAGAGCCCCCGTCCCTTGGTCTGAGAAGAGAGGCCAGACTCCTTTTCCTGGGTGGCCAAGCTTTTCTAGGCAACATTCCGGTGCCGAGGCGGGAAGGGGAGTGTGGAAGGGGTGGGAGGGAGAGGTGGCACTTAACCCCCACACACAACCCTCCTGCCAGCAGGGTGCCTTCTGTGTTAGCCAGGGCTTGTCACCCACGCGTGTTCGTTCGCACATTAAATTTCCCTTTGTCAATTCTTTGACTGAAGAAACTATCACAAAACCCAAGGAAGCATTCTTCCCGTTTTGTTTCGGTTTTCCAGGTGGTATTTTCAAGGTACGCCAGCCTTTGCCATCTCGTCTCCCTTGGGCCCTGACCAGTCCAGTGTAATTATGTGCGTTTTCATCATTTGTCCTTTGGGAGGAGGATGGGGCTGATGCATTTCCTCTAGCTTTGAGAAATGGATGTGTTTGATTTCTGTTTTAGACAAGGAAGTCACTTCTCTTGGGTTTTCCGTGAAAGCAAGATTTTCTAGAGTCTTGTTTTGAACCATGTTTAGCTTAATTGGGCCAGCAAACTAAGGCCCTCCCACCGCCACACGTTTTTGTAAATAAAGTTTTATTGGCACTCAGCCACGCCTACCCCCACACTGGAGCAGAGGCTGCTTTCATGCTGTAGCAGCCGAGGGAAGTAGTTGGAACAAGACCGTGTAGCCCGTAGCCCACAGACTCAAAAATTAGTATCTGGGCCCCTTACAGAAAAAGTTTGCCGGCCCTGGATTTAAAACAAGTAACAGGAATTAGCAGTTCTTTCATCCTGAAGGCTTTTGGACAGCCAGCAGGATGGAACACTGAAGTGTAATATTTGTTTGGCTGAATTTAAAATGCTTTCAAAATCACTAATTCCCATTTCAGTGCTGCTTCGCAGTCGAGGTGGTTCTGTTGCTTTGTGACTCAGAGGCTGACTTCCACATGCTACCTTCAGAAACAAGGGCAATGCAAGTCACAGAAGTGGGGTGTAGCTGAACCAGAAGGGGAGCTTGGGAAGCTGCCCCTCCTCATCTTAAAACCGTCCAAGTGTAGTTACTACAGAATGTTGACTCGAAGCCAGCTCTAAATGGGCTTCTAGAAATAACCGACCTCTGGAGCCTCCTCCATGGGGAGGCCGCTGCAAGGGTTTCACAGCAGGAGCGGGAGCCTGTGTGACACTGTGAGGGTCGCCTTCTGAGCTGTAGGGTGGGTAGTACCAGATGGACACACAGTCAGCAGAGGAGCTCAGACTGCTAGCTTTGTGTTCCCATGCCTTCCCACTTCAAGGGAGACGGGAAGGCAGATCTGCAAGGAGCAGCCCCTGTACTGGGGACAAAAATGAGAACTGGAGACCACCCCTGGGCTCCTTCCCCGCCGAGATCTCAGCCCGGCCCCGTCTCACACCTCTGAAGCATAGCTGTGCAGACTGGACTGGGTTTTTCCTAAATACGTTTTGCCCCCCTTTTCACTTGGACATTTTTTTTTCAAGTCCTCATTAAAACTAAATTAATGGCACTGGGGACAAGTGAATGTCCTTCATCTGGCTTCACTTCATTTTGTCTTAAATGCTGGAAGCACTGGATGTAAGCTGCCCCCACCCGATACGTCTGCCCTAAATACGTCCTCAGACATCTCTGAAGAAGAGGGCCATTCCTCTTCTTGGCCCTAGTGCCATTGTCATGCCCAAGAAAATAGTCATTCAGAAATACCATTCAATGTATAGTCCATATTTAAATTGTCCTGTCACCAAAATGTCCCTTATAGCTATTTCTTGGGTCCATTCATCAACTGTGGGACGACTGACTTCCCTTACAGTACGTGCCCTGATCTGTAAGTGCCTGTGGCCTCCCTTCAGAGAGCCCGTGTCCTGCTCCAAAGGAGTTGTCTGACTGCTGACTGAGATAAAACATTTGAAACTCAAAGAAAAAGACTAAGCTGCTAGCCCAGGCAGTTTTTTTGTTCAGTGGCAAAGCCACACTGAGTTTTCTGTCCATCCCATCAACGGCTGAGTTGCATTCACAGCACACCAGGAATTGTCAAATCCTGTTCCACACTGGAGGCGGCGGTTGGCAATTTGAACTCACGTCCTAGCGTCCGAGTTCACACTGGGGCCAGACTGAGCCCAGGGAGCCTCTGTTCATCTTGGTGTTCCCCAGGCGTCCTCAAGGTGGCGCTCTTCACAAGGGGCCTGCTCAAAAATGAAACCTTTTTTCTTATAACTGCCTCAAATGGTAACAGTTGTTTTTCTTTTTACTGTGGAGAAAATTTGAATCTCCTGTAAGCTGTTCTAGTGTTGGTAACAAAATGTTTCTTTCTGTTACATATCTTCCACACGTTTGCTCATCTGCAGGGGAAGGCTTTGAGTCGCTCTGGCGGGGGAATGCCTGTTGGGTAGACAGACAGAAGGATGTCACAGAAGAGCTGGCGAGCAGGGAGCACAGGGTCACTGAAAACGCCGGCCTAGATGCTGAGGCCTGCCTGGGAAGCTTACATTGGCGAGATACGCATCCTCTGTCCGCGGGGGTTTTTCTGCCGTCCCTTCCCCTTCGGGTCCTTCAGATCCAGACCCTGGGTCCTAAGCATCTGATGACTGAATCTCTTCAGCTCCTTTTAATTTCTGCTGCTGAGAAGTGAGGACAGATTAAGTCCCCTTTCAGTTGAGATTTTCTAACCAGGGGACCATATACCAGTAACAAGAAGCTAATTCCCTTTCCAGAAGAGACTCGAGGGGTCAGAGGAGGAATTGCAGAGTGGGGCAGAACCTTCCAAATCAAATTCGACCCCTTCTCCCTCCTTCCATTTTTCTCTCTCCTCTCCCTGAACTGGGCATTTGTGTTCCGTGTCTAAGAAGCGCAGGAAGCTCTGGTTTCCTTGGTCAGTAGGGAGAGGTGTCTAATGTGGATTGCTTTGCAAGACTGTATTTGGACTGTAGTTAGGCTGTGAACTGTTTATTCCAATCAAAGAAGGAAGAAGAAAAGACATCTTTTGAGTCCACAGGTAACCCTGTGAGCCCTTTACCTTCATATTAAGAAGGCTTTTGAGGGTTATAGATGGAGAAGAATGTGACCTCTTGTGAACAAGAAATGTCTTGAGGTTGTGGATAAACTGATAAATTGGGAAAGGTAAACATCCTACATTCAAGATTGAACACTGCATCCTCTAGGTGCCTGACAGCAGTCCCCCATTCACCTGACTCTTACCAAGAAAACAGGAGCTGCTCTTGCTCTGCCATACTGAACTCTGGGCAGCCTCCAGAGTGTCACAGCCTCAGACCTGTAGTGACGCCTCTGTCACACCACCAGCCCGTGTTTAAGGAAACCTTAAAATTCAGGTGCAGCCACCAAACCCTAGGATGCGCGGGAGGAAGTGCTGATGAGCCAAGGTGAGGCTGGCGTGCCATCTGAATAGTCGGGGAGTCAGTGTGGAGCTGGGAGGAAGAGCCAGGCTCTGGAGGGGGGATGGGGATGGGGGCAATGGGGGAGGCAGGCTTCAGGGCATAGAAGTGGGTTTGGGGCAGCAAAGCGTGCTCAGAGGCCCAGTAAAGATTCCAGCCAGGAGGCACACGCCCCGAGCGAGCGTTGGGGGAGCGCGTCCCTCACGCCAAAGCAGGAATTGGGAGGCAACCACTCTTCTGGTCAGGGCGGAGCAGCGGCTGGAAGCCCTCTGGGGCCTAGGAAATGCTGAAGGTCCTCCAGGCAGACTTTACTTCAGTCCGTCGTACACGGGCATCCGAACATTCATGTTCTAAAACCAGGGATTTTTTAAATGATCTAAGCAAGCCTAGTTAATGATAGGTGGTTTTCCCACAGAGCTCTGGGTCTAATTTTTTTCTTGTGGCATTAAAACCTCTGGCCTTAAGCAGTAGCCAGCCGTGCAGGTGCTGACCTTCGGGCCCCAGACAGGTCTAAGCAGTAGCTTCTGTCTGTGGGCCACCTCTGGAGAAGAAGAGTCAGTTTTGGTGACTTTGTAGATTGTGGATGGGTTAGTGTATTGCTTTTGCTTTCCTAAGAGTGTCTGCAGGTTCTCTGAAATCCTCTCTAGAGATCCCTGTGTCCGACAGGCTCTCATGTGAGGAAACAGCCTTCAGGTCCTCCCAGAGGTCTCAGTCACTTGAGAAGAAAGGTGAATGGACAGGGACGCAGGGCAGCCCGGTGGTCATTTAGTTCACCAGGAGGGAGAAACAGCTCCGAGGGGCCGATGATGCCAGGCAGGTTGGGACAGGAGTCCATCCGTTCCAAGACACAGCTTTATAACCCATTTCTCAAGGAAAGAGTCTCAGCTGCAGCGCTCTCAGCCCGTGGAAGACCCTTCCCTATCCCAAGACCACTTTAGAGGATGGCAGGGTGTGGTCCTTTCAAGGACGAAGACTTCCATAACTTTCTCTTCGCCAGGTGGCTTTCTGCATAAGCCCTTGCCTGGGATGTTAGGGGTGAGCCTGGGAGAATCCTGGGCTGGGCCCCCCTCCTTCAGCTGAACCCCCACCTGCTACCTGCTTGTTTGTCACTGAGGCAAGAGGGTGCTTCCTCGGTCTCGTGGTTAAGCAGAACAAACTGAGGGGTGCTGGGACCACTGGAAGGATGTAAAGCCTTTGCCCTGGACCCCCACTGGGCAGCCATGTGCTGCTCCAGGCCTAACTTCCCCTCTCCTGGTGGACCGAAATGGTGCTCACGGCCACCTCCCCTCATCTGCATCTTTGAGGAGGTGTGTCACCAAACCCTAGGGGCAGGTTGACTCAGTCTTCCCTGTCCCTCTAATAGAGGCCCTCCCCCCAGGTATGGTTGCCAGGTGTGTTTTCCACGCTCACGGCTCACAGTAGGCTGAGTAGCTCCATGCTTCCTGGCAGTTGCGAAAATGAGAGAGAGAGAGAGAGCTGGGACTTCCTTGCACCTTGAGGCTCCCTCGAAATCAGACAGAACAAGGGCACATTCATTTGCCTCTTTGCTGGCCTGGAGGGCTGGTCTGGCTTTCTTGGCCATCCTCAGCCCGGGCAGGTGCTGCTGCAGGTCAGGGTCTCCAATCCACCCGGCCCCAAGTTGCAGCCTTTCTTTACATTGAAGGAAAATTGTCTTTTTTGCTCCCAGTCCTCTGCAGAGCAAAAAGACTTGTTGGATTCGGGAGAGGAGCCTCAGGGGGAGGCTGAGGCCCCCTGCCATGGCGTGGGTCACCCCGAGTCAGCTGGTGAGCATGCCCTAGAGCCTCCTGCCCCCGCTAGCCCTCCAGCCAGCGCTCCTGAAGCCCAGCTTCTTCCTTTTCCGCAAGAACTGGCAGGGGTAAGTCCACCTCCACCTGGCATTCCACGCCCAAGGCTCCCAACCCAGACCCGCCCCTTCCCCTTCGGGTCCTTCAGATCCAGACCCTGGGTCCTAAGCATCTGATGACTGAATCTCTTCAGCTCCTTTTAATTTCTGCTGCTGAGAAGTGAGGACAGATTAAGTCCCCTTTCAGTTGAGATTTTCTAACCAGGGGACCATATACCGGTAACAAGAAGCTAATTCCCTTTCCAGAAGAGACTCGAGGGGTCAGAGGAGGAATTGCAGAGTGGGGCAGAACCTTCCAAATCAAATTCGACCCCTTCTCCCTCCTTCCATTTTTCTCTCTCCTCTCCCTGAACTGGGCATTTGTGTTCCGTGTCTAAGAAGCGCAGGAAGCTCTGGTTTCCTTGGTCAGTAGGGAGAGGTGTCTAATGTGGATTGCTTTGCAAGACTGTATTTGGACTGTAGTTAGGCTGTGAACTGTTTATTCCAATCAAAGAAGGAAGAAGAAAAGACATCTTTTGAGTCCACAGGTAACCCTGTGAGCCCTTTACCTTCATATTAAGAAGGCTTTTGAGGGTTATAGATGGAGAAGAATGTGACCTCTTGTGAACAAGAAATGTCTTGAGGTTGTGGATAAACTGATAAATTGGGAAAGGTAAACATCCTACATTCAAGATTGAACACTGCATCCTCTAGGTGCCTGACAGCAGTCCCCCATTCACCTGACTCTTACCAAGAAAACAGGAGCTGCTCTTGCTCTGCCATACTGAACTCTGGGCAGCCTCCAGAGTGTCACAGCCTCAGACCTGTAGTGACGCCTCTGTCACACCACCAGCCCGTGTTTAAGGAAACCTTAAAATTCAGGTGCAGCCACCAAACCCTAGGATGCGCGGGAGGAAGTGCTGATGAGCCAAGGTGAGGCTGGCGTGCCATCTGAATAGTCGGGGAGTCAGTGTGGAGCTGGGAGGAAGAGCCAGGCTCTGGAGGGGGGATGGGGATGGGGGCAATGGGGGAGGCAGGCTTCAGGGCATAGAAGTGGGTTTGGGGCAGCAAAGCGTGCTCAGAGGCCCAGTAAAGATTCCAGCCAGGAGGCACACGCCCCGAGCGAGCGTTGGGGGAGCGCGTCCCTCACGCCAAAGCAGGAATTGGGAGGCAACCACTCTTCTGGTCAGGGCGGAGCAGCGGCTGGAAGCCCTCTGGGGCCGGTGTTGTGAGCCTGGGCCCTGGGCCCCTCAAGCACAGGGACCCTCATGCCGGTCTGCCCAAGGGCTCTGGGGCCTCCTGCTGCTGTCAGTGCGAAAAGCACTTGGGGAGAGCCTCCGACTGCAGGCACTGAGGGAGTCATTGAGAGACGGAGGCAGTGGATCACAGAGACTGTCGGGCAGCCCCCCTTCTGGGGCATGCGGGCTATTTCAGGCCCCTTTCCTAGTGTCCTTTTGCTGAGATGGGTGCGCCCCCCCTCCCCACTGGAGGCCTCACCTTCTGCCTGTGGCCAGTCTGCACATGGATTTCTGAGGCCTGGCCAGTGGCTCTTGGCGTCTCAATTCTTACGAACTTTGTGTCAGAGGCTCTAATCCTGAGATGTTCAAGCAGTCCCCAGACTGGTAAACACAAGGCCAAGCGTTGGGGCAGGGAACCTCAAGATGGGAGGTTCCCATCTCCGCGGGAGACAGCCAGGACTCGAGGGAGCAGTGTATGAGTGTGCCAGCATCGCATGCACTGCTTAGTTTAGATTCGTAACTATGGCAACCTCAGTTCTGTCAGAAGTCTCAGCAGCGCCACGGTCACATCAGTTGCTGACAGCCCAGAGCCAAGCAGCATTGCTCCCTTAGGCTCTCAGCAGAAGAGACCCTGGCTGGTTCCTAATGGGTCCTGTTAATTGGCTTTCTCTACTGATGACAAAGTAAACATTTTTTAGGTCAATTAGGACATAAATCAGGGCAGACAGAACCTGATCCCAGCTGCTTCTTGGCCCGAGATGGTCCTGTGGTTAACTTGGCCTGGCCGCTTTTGCATCGGAACTGATTTGGATGCTGCTGTGCGCCACACCGGAGCTCAGGATCCGGCGCACCCGTCAGCCAGCAGGTCTCATCCATCACCTTCAGCCTGGCCTTCAGTTCTTGATCCCCGGGGGGGGGACGTAAAGCTGCAAGTGCTTTATAATAAATAGTGGCTCACTGGGTTGTAGCTTATATAAAGGGCCCTTATCTTCTTTCCATCTCGTCAGAACTCTGGCCATGGCAGACTCAGTACCAGGAAAAAGTCTCTATATATCAGCTTTCTGGCTCTCAGAAGACAGCTGGGAGAAGAGCGTACCACATCCAGATTAAGTTCTCTGGCCCAGAGAAGGCAGGCTGCTCTGAGAGCTTACTCTGAGCCTGGCTGAGGCCTCCAGGACCGAAGCTCCAAGCCAAGGTACTGCGGAGCCTAAAATGTGTTTACTGGACCCACCAGGAAGCCTAGAAAGACTCTGGAACAAGCCCCCAGGCTTGGCAACTACCCTCATCTTCCAGCTCCTGCCCGGGATTTGACCTGCACCCCACCCCCGCCCAACATGCAGAGCTCGGTGGCTGCCACTGTTTTTCGTTTTTTAGTGTCTTCCTTTTTGGTAAGAACTTGGGAGCTGGTTGCCTCAGTCACAGAATAAACAGCACTGAATTGCTCCCCAGTCACTGTGAAGACAGGACACGTCAGCAGGCCTCCCTGAACTGATTTTTCCTACAGCCACAGCCACCAGCTTTCTCACTGGGCAGTCCCAGCCGGGAGCACTGCGGCTCAGGCAGGTCTAACAGTACCTGGTCTTCCCTGCAGGGGAGAAGAATGTTCATCTGACATGGCCTTGCTTTCGCGTTTTTCCTGGGAAGTCAGGAAGGCAAGGCTCTTCATCCCTGCCTACCGCCTGTGTTTGTCTGTGTCAGCCTCTGAGAGACAGCCTCCAGCTCCATCCCCTTCCCCCAGACTGCCAGGTGGCCTCACAAGGGCCATGGGGTTTTTTCAGAGGGGAGTCCTTAATAAGCATAACAGTTTTAATTTTCACCATTTCATCCTTTATACAAAGACTTGAAGCTTCCCATGCCTGTGGTCCCATCCTGGCTTAGGCGTTGCCGCCTGTTTTGCACCTGGCAGTGAGGACGGACAAACCTCACAGCCTGAGCTGCTTACCCAAGGTTTCAGTGGCTTTTGAGGGGAGAGGACAGCCCCCCACCCCCCTGGCAGCAGCCCGGCTACTGTCCTTTCTCACCTTATGCAACTGATCCATTCCTTCCCACTGCCTGGCACCAAACAAATGGGATGAAGAGTTCTCTTTTCTCTTCCTCTTTTTCCTTGTGTAAGTGTTCATGTAGCGTACTTTTTATCATGGTGTTCCAAATGAGTGCCAACCCCAGCATCCCCGGGTGTCATCCTGAAGCCCTCCCTGCAGAGGTGGATTCCAGTGTGGAGGAGGACCCTGCACTATCCTCACTCCTGCCCAGAAAGTACAGACCCCAAAGGCCTGCTCTCAGCGTCCTGCTCACACAAATCCCGCAGCAGTGCACCTGAGCTTTGGGCTGCAGGCCCCAACCGTGGGTGCATCCCGGGCGTTGTTCCTGACTGACCCCTGAGCAGCCGCTCCCTGGGTTGGGGTGAGGGTGGCCCCCAGACAGCTTTGATACAGAAGAGGTCCCGATACCAGGCTGCTGTGTCTAAGGGAGGTTGTGGTGGAGCAGGTGTGGCCGGGGTGGTGGCTGGAAGGGGAGTTATGGCATCCCCTCCTTTTTCTCGCCCTGGGGAAGACCGCACAGGGCAGCCGGGTGGCAAGCTCAGACCTCTTCCAGCAGGTGGGGGTGCAGGCGGCTTCCCCTCTGGTTCCTGGAGAGTAGGCAAGGCCAGAGGAAGCCAGAACCGGCTTTGTTTCCCACCTTGTCTTCCTGCTTCCCTGCTCTCCTTCAGTGTGGAGGAGGTGGCTGCTGGAGTGTCCTCTGCTTCTGACTTGGCTGGCTCCGACCCCTCTGGAGGTTCCAGCAGCTTCCAAAGGTCCTCTCTGGTGGGGGATCTCCCTGTTAGCCTTTCTAGGACCAAGAGGCCTACCACATACCTGTGGGATGGCGCTTAGAAGAGTTTTGGAGTATAGCTTTGAGGAGCTGTGGGGTCAGGAGCTGAGGAGTATATGAATCTTGTCTGGCCAGGCACCCTTTCTCCAGGCGACCGAAGGGGCTCACTCATCAGTAAATGTTTGCCAAGCATCTTTTATGCACAGCGTCCTGGGTGTTGGGTATATGACCTGTGGACACAGCAGACAGGGACTGGCCTCACCATAGTGGGTGACTGATGACACACACACATCAGATCATTTCCCTCGATGAACAAAACAGGCCAGAGGCTGGAAAGGCTGGAGGTGGGGTTGGGAGGAGCGGCTGCCACACTGGGCGGTAGGAGGGCAAGCGGGCCTGCAGTCAGGGCAGGCCTCGCCTTGGGAGGGCATCGCAGGCCTCGAGTAGCACACTCAGGAGGAACACTGAGGAGGGAAGTCAGAAAACATGTCAGCAGGGAGGCTGGAGCGTGAGCGCACAGAGGGGTGGTGGGGGCAGCCGCTAGGACCCAGAGCTGAGGAGCCCGGAGGCCCTCAGCACCAGCAGGCCTGGGCCCAGGGCCTCCAGCTCCTGCTCTGAGCTCTGGGGGAGGCGCCTGGCACCCACCAGGTATGGAGACCCAGAGATCCCTGAGAGCGTTGGGGTGCCGTTGGCAGGGGTAACAAAGCTAGGATGCACAAAGCAAGAGCTGATAGAAAATCCAGTCAGGATATTGACCTCAGCACCCCAGTCAGGTATCAGTAAGGCATCCAGACAGGAGATGGGGGCTTGACAGCACTGGCACCCAGCTGGCCCCACACATGCACAGGGTGTGCCCCCCACACGCTGCTCCAGGGCGCAGGCCATCCCCCAAGGACAGACTGCCTGCCAAGCCACAAAACAAGTCCCAGTGAGGGCAGTCTTCTCCAAGCACAGCGGAATGGAATTAGTGTCCTTAGCACAAGGAACCTGGAAAATTGGCACACGTGGAAATTAGCCTGGGTAGCCAGTGGGCAAGGGAAAGGTAGGCATGGAAGAACCAAGCACTGCGCCCGAGGCTCTGCACTTAATGGGAAATACATGCCATCGCTACCTTTCTGGCCTGCAGAGTGCCTGGGATCCTTGTTGCTTCCCTGAACAGATGCCAGGTGAGCTGACGAGTGCCAAGGGCCAGTCCCCTTCTGGAACTGGGAGCTGTCAGGGGGCCCTGACACAGGCCGCACCAAAGGGCTTGTTCTCACTGGAGAGGGCCGTGTGTGGGCTAGTACCAAACACTTGGTGAGTGGAAGGAGAGAAGCCACGAGAGCCACAGGGCTGGGCTTGAGGGGAGACTGGTGGGGGGCTGGATCCTGCTGCAAAGGAGGACGAGGGGGCCTACACCCACCTGGAGTCACCGGCAAAGGGGACGGGTCCTGAGAGAGAAGGCTAGACGTGCTGAGGACACAGCTGTGTTCCCAGAGTGCAGCTTCCAGCACCCACGCTGTCCTAGGCTCAGCCTTCCGCCTGTCCCTCTCCAGGGACCCCAGCCCTGGCCCCTCACCTGGCTGTCCCCCGAACATGACTCCACATCCAGACTCTTCCTTTCACCCCTGTCCTCACCGCAGCCAGGTGCCAGCACCCCTATATTCCAAGGGTAGAAACAGAAGTCTGGGCAAGTGAAATAATTGCCCGGAGTCTAACATTTAGGAACTGGCAGAGCTGGGACAGATTAAGTTCCACAAGCCTCTGAGAGGGGGTTACCTACCTTCACTCCCCACTCAGGCTGCAGCCTGTTCTGTACCCATCTGCAGCCAGCCTGTCTGACGCCCCGGGTATTTTGTTTTGTTAGGGCCTGGTGGTGTGTTCCCAGTCACCCCGAGGCCTGCTGAAGCCCTGCCGTGAGGGCTTTGCGTCTCCGAGGACTTTGATGGGTGGTCTCCCTGAGCCGCCTCCCCGCCCAGGGCAGGGGTGGGGACAGCGGCCGTGCCCTCCCTTCCACGGTGAGCTCATAGAGCACAGACTGAGAGCAGAAGCCCAGGCCTGCTTCTCTGACTCGCTCATGCGGGGAGGGGAGAGTCCAGGCTGCCGTCTTTCCTGCGCTTTACGGAGAAGGTGGCGTCCTGGCTCCAGGAGGTTCTCTCCTGCTCGGCAGCAGTCCCTGCCCGTACGCAGAGCCCTTCCACAGGCACCATCATTCCGCCCCTGCAGCTGCTGGAGGTGGTGGTCCTCGTTTGGCCAGGCTTGACCTGGGGGCTTTTGCAAAGTAAGAAAATGAGCTCCTCTGCTTGTTCTCACACGAGTGCCCAGGAGGGGTGATGTTCGCCCCTGAATGCTTGCTTTCGGCTGCTCAGCTCTGCCGAGTCCCCAGTTGCTGGGACAGGCCGGACACGAGGGACCGTGTGGTAGCCTGGGTTAGGAGGGGCCTCATTCCAAGGCTGCCTAATTGCTGGCGGGTCATGTTCTGAAACCCAGGTTCTGAAGGACGAAGTTCTTCGCCTTCTGTGGGCTTGTAAGTGCTCGGTGGGGTCTGTTGACTGCTGACTTACATTTAATGAGTTTGTTCTGAGCACTTGGCCCCAGACTGTGGTCCAAGGTATCAGTGCCCCCAGTTGCTCCAGAAAGAAACAACCTGTCTCGAAGGAGGGGCCACAACGCGGGATGTGCCAGGGCAAGGAGTGGAAACTGTCACGATCCCACGTTAGGCAGCCATTTTAAACAGTCCTGCTGCCCTTCAGAGTGCAGAGGGGCACTTGGCAAACATTTGATGAAACGAATTTTGGGCAGATACAGTTTCTCTGTGTTTGAATTTGGGGGTGACCTGCCAGTGAGCCATAACCGGTGGCGAAGCAGAGAAAGCAGTCCCTGTTCTGGAAGGCTGTGCTCAGACATGAGACGGGTCCCGTGGCTCACAGCCTGGCAGGCAGGCACACAAGGCCTGTGGGGGGCTATGAGCGTTGCGCTGCAGGTCCGTCTGTGGTGTGCATGGCCGAGCTCAGGGTGTTGGCCCTCAGCGCCGCACCTCCGGAACAGCCGCAGCGGAGCTGGCGGGCTGCTGGGTGCTGGGCATCAGGGCCTGCTCTGACCTGCCCTGTGCTCTCGTTTCAGAGGTCAGCTGGAGGCTCCAGCCCCGAAGGTGGAGAAGGTGAGGACACCTCTAAGACATTCTCTGTCTTGTCTTGTGAACGTGGAAGCAGCCTGACTTTCTCCTCCTCATTATTTTCTGTAGATTCTGACCGAGAAGATGGAAATTACTGCCCTCCTGTCAAGCGAGAACGAACATCCTCTCTGACCCAGTTCCCACCTTCACAGTCAGGTACTAGCCGCAGATCCTTATTGACCCCTAAAAGTGTCTGTGTTAGTAAGTCCACTGTCCCCTGCACGTCATACATCCAGAGCCAGTAGAGCCCATCTGAGTCTCCTCCAGAGATGAGGTCAGAGCTTGCCCTGAGTCTGTGTAGTGCTGGTACCCCCGTCTGGACTCAGTGACGTGTGTGTGTGTGTGTGTGTGTGTGTGTACACTAATATGGAAGATGCAACAAGAAACGGTCCCTCCGAAGCAGAGGAACAGGGCTCTCGGCCCTGGCGGGGGCTCTGACCACTAATTACAGATCCTCCCTCAGCCTCAGCCGGGTGCCTAGAGCTTGGTGATCCTGTTACTGAGTAGCTGAGTGGCCCCAGCACACACTTTGGTCGTGGGATGCCATGAGCTCCCACAGGACAAAGGCTTGGTGGAGCCTTGAAGGGTGAGCCAGGCTAGGACCCTGTGGAGGTGCTGGACAGGGGCATGGTCTGGCATAGGCACGGAGGCCAGCAGACCAGCCTTGGGGCCGACACAGACACTGTACAGGAGAGGCAGGTTCCGGAGCACAGAGACACTCTAGGGCCATTTAGTGCAAGGCTGTGCAAGCAGGGGCACTCTGCAGATTTGGGGAGACACTGCCACCTGGCTTTCCTCTCCCCTCCCTGCCTGACATGGCCCACTCTCACAGTGACCTGTGTCCCCTGTCTTGACTCTGTGGGGCTCACAGGATCTCTAGTTATGGGATGGGAAGTGCATTCTGGGAAGCTCGCATGAGACATCTCACAGCTGTGAGCCTTAAGGGGGCAAGACACTCCTGGAAGGTTTGCTTCTGCTTCAAAAGTACTAGAAGTGTCCTGGGAACATCCAGTGAAGAAAGTGAGCGTCCTTACCAGGTCATCCCCGTAGTACGCTTGATTCATCCCCGCCTCCCTGCATACTTACTTTGGATGTGGCCCTGTCCTTTCTCACGACTGCTTTAGGCCCCTCTGAGCGGAGACACTTGCTAACCAGGTGCTGGGGAACCGTAGTCCGAGCTGCAGTTGACACCTTTTTTGTAAGGACCTCTGCACACTGCTGCAAAGGTGGCCCACAGAACAAGGGGGCTTCTGCATCCGAGCCTGGGATGGTGTTCCTGCTGCTGAGCCGCTGTGCATCAGAAGGGCGCAGCAGGAGAGGAGGTGGCCACCTGTGCTGTGGCCGCAGGCTGAAGGGGCAGAGGACACCACGCCCTCCTCTGGTGCAGCGGCATCCCAGATGCTCGGCGCTCTGTCCCAGGAGAGGAGATGTGCAGTGCGGTCCTTTGGAAAGCACTGCCACTGCACTGCCCTCTGTCCCACTTGGCTGCCCTCTTCCTCCCCAGTTAGTGCTTCAGCTCTGAGGCCCGCTGTACTATGGCCTGGCCTGCATCCTGTGAGCAGCTGGTACTGTAAAGTCAGACCCCAAAAAGGTGAGGGGAGGCGGGTGCAGTCAACTGCCAGGCCCCGACTGGTGACTAGGAGCAAGGCTGAGGACCCACTTCTCTCTCAGCTGCCCCTGCAGAGGCCCGGGGCGCCAAGGAAAAGCATCAGCATGAGGATAAGACAGGCGGCCCCAGCAGACCAGAGGCGGCCGGCAGATGTTGCGCAGATAAAGGCTGTTCAACTGGAGACCCTCTTTTCTGCTGTAGAGAGCCTCGGGGGTCGCTTTTATTGGGAGTGTGTAAAGGCCTCATTCAGAATGCTGACCCCTGCCCACACGGTGGGGCTCGGAGATGAACCCCTCAGGTGGGGGAGGCGAGTGGTGTGCCTCTGCCCCACGTACTCACGCTGGTTTTCCTCTTGTTCCCTCTCCTGCCCGCATGTCCTTGTCGACAGTGTCAAAAAACAATGTCTTTATGCCATCATCCTTCTGCGAGCCATCTGCCGGCAATTCTGACTCTGAACCAGGTGAGCCTGGGCCCCTTTGCCCTGCCGCCCACAGCCAGTCCCTGGGGGGTTCCTGGGAGGAGAAGCAGTTGCCACTGTGAAATAAGAGTTTAGATGGAAGTGGGCAATTTGAAGTCAGAGTTCTCTTTCCAGTGCTGAATGTCTTCCCTCCTGCGCAACTCCTGGGCGGGGAATCCAGGGAGAGACAGGCTTCCTGAGCTCTTTCTGCAGCTCCTGCAGACATGGCCTGCTTACAAGGAGTTTGAAGTCCTTTTTTAAAAAACAACTTTAAAGAGGTGTATTGCTTATTTTTCAAATTTTACACAATACATACATGTCAGTCTTAAAAAGGCAACTCGGAAACAACATAGAATAAAAGAATCCGTCTACCCTGTTGTCACTCTGCCATCCCAAAGGTCACTGCCATAGAGTTGATGTGATTTTCCAGACCCCTTTTCCATGTATAAAGTCCTCACATTAATTAATATTGCTTTGATGTGTTCAGATAAATATGTAGATATATTTAATTGCAGTCTTAAAAGTGAGGAAAACAGCTTGATCCCCTCAAAAGAATATGGAGCCCAAAAAAAACCCCTCGGAACGTGGAGCCTTCCTTTTTTGGTCTCTCACTGGGGAGCCAATGCCAGGATTTCTTGAAAGTTGCTCCCACGTGGCTGAAATTCCTCATAAACGACTTAATGAGCATATTTAACCACCCCAATTCTGTAACCCAACCTGCCTTATATAAATTCAGCGCCGACTTCAAAAGTGTTACGAGAGAAGTCATACCCTGGCAGGAGGGCAGCGTCGGGGGAAGAGGCAGGTTTTTATAACCTTGAGGATTGATTGGATGGCATCATTTCAAGCACTTGGCTTCACTTTGACTCTAAAAGCAGACTGCTCTGAGCTGCACCCCTCCTCAGCTCCTGAAGAGGAGCTTGGTGTCCAGGGGTCCTCTGGGGTACCTGGGGTGCGGGCTTCAGGAGGACCTAGCTGGACTGGCATGCGTGGGCTGCCCCGTCTGGGGTCTCGGTTGTGGGGCCAGTGTCTTGATTCTTCTGTGCTATTGAGTTCCATAAGGAATCTCAGGATCACCTCTGAGGTCGTGAGTGACAGTCTCGCCTCCCCTTTTTCCTCCCCAAAACCTTCATCCTGCAGCCTTGAGAGCAGGACAGCCCTGGGAAAGGCGGTGATGGAGGACCTGCTTCCGAGGTCCGGTGCAGCCGCAGTCCCCGGTGCCTCCTGCAGCAGAGGGGTCACGTCAGACTTGCGCGTCGCTTCGGCACGGTGGAGTTCTTAATCCGCGCCTGCCTGTCTTTTAGTTTTTAGCTTTAAGTTTGGAAAACATGTAAAACTTCAGAATTTACAAAGCACTTCTTATATCCCATCACCTAGCAACCCCATTTGGTGTTCCTCACCTCTTCCCAGGGATGTCCTTCATAGCAAAGGGATCGGATCTTGGGTCACACGTTGCATTTCTCTTCCCATCTCGAATGGTTGCTTGGTCTTTCCTAGACTTCTGTGACCTGGCAGGTTACGGGCCAGTTGTTCTGGAGAAGCCCTTGAGTCTGGGTGTCAGGTGTTTCCCGGAGACTCCCCCTTGGGGGTTCATCTGGGATCACGTCTTCCCCAGTGCACGGAAGAGTGGCCCACGATGCCACCTGTCCTGTGCGTGAGTCAGCTGGTCCCTAGGTCCGAGTGGACTCTGCCTGGCTTCTCCCCCAGGAGGTCGTCTCCCCTCTGAGGTCAGCGCTTCCCAGAGAGCTGCCTTGAGACTCTGGGAAGCGTCGTTCTGCCTCTCGTGCCCTCCGGCATTACTGACCCCCTGGACGCTTTCTTGCCAAATTCACCGATTGTAACAGTCGCCCAGTGGGGCTTTCCGCCTCCACCAGGGCTGCTGCATTTGTCTGTCGGCAAACTACCAAGAGAGCTCTAGTCCCGCTTGGTTGCGGGTGGTTTTGTTGTTCAGTGTGGATTCGTGACTCGGGTTTTAGTCAATGGGTGATGATTTGCTGTTAGTAGTACTGATTTTACTGTCGAAGTTTTATTTCAGTCCCAGGTTGGGCCAGAGGCAGCCCATTGAGCAGATTCCATGTCCCTGTCATTCTTCCAAGCACGTTCTTCCTGTTGTCACAAGGCTCCAGGCTCTTATCCCACGCTTTCTAGATGCTTGGCCTGTGCACTGCCCTGGGCCAGCACTGCTCCCAGGCCTCGGTGCCCAGAGCTGGGAACACACACACCCAGTGCACATGCCCACATGTATTTCTGTGCATGTGTGGGACCCAGGTTCACACGGATGCCGACAGTCCAGCACAGCAGGGTCCAGCTCAGTCCCCCATCATATTTCTGCTTCTCCTGATGATAGAAAGCTGGCCCCCCTTGTCCTCAGCGCAGGCACTCACTGCCCAGCCCTTGCATGGCCAAGTCCCGCCCTTGTGTCCCACCAGGCCCCGCTTCCTGGGGTCTTTCAGCCCCTGGTTAAATGCCAGTGGGTGTTCCTGGTTAAATCTGGGGTCCCCTCAGGGCTTAGCTGTGTTGTCCTGGACCTCACTTAGTCTCTGAAACCACCCTAGAGGGCCCTGCTCTCTTCAGATTCGGAGGAGGGTAGCAGCTGCCTGGAGGGAGCCACCTCTACACCAGCGAGCTCAGAGGGCCGCCACTGCGCCTGCGCACCCCGGGCCCTGGTGTGTGTGCTGGGGCCCTTTGCTGCAGAAGTGAGCATCTGGAGGCTGTGAGAAGACCAAGACGGGGCCTCCTGTCAGACTGCCCTGCACACATGACTCCTGCCGCGTCAGGACCCTCCTGTCCCAAGTCCCCAGTTTCCTTTAGTAATGTGGCACTTCCACCTGTCCATCCCTTCACCACAGTGTTGGTTGTGGGTTTCCTGTGCATCTGCCACGATTGCCTAGGCCTGCAGGCCCCAAGGGTCAAGTGGCTGCCAGAACTGGTATTGAGCGCCACGTGAGCAATCAAAGAGCCAGCCCTCAGTGCTTCTAAAAATCACCTACATTGGAATTTGATCTCAAATGCTTTTTTAATATTTCTCAAGTGCCAGTCCTCTGAAACATCCTGAGCTTTGGAAATGTTACTCTGTATCTGTATCTCCCTTCCTGGGAGGAGCATGTGGCAGCATGTCTGTGGGCCGTGGTTCTGTGCTTCTGCCCCCCCACCCCCGCACTCACGGCAGAGGCGTGGGCCCCTAACTCAGGCTCAGCCTCCGTACCAACTATCAGTGAGAGTCCTGTGAGCCCATTTTCGCCCTGGGAGAGCGGTCTGGCTCGCCAGCACGTAGGCAGCAAAGGGCTTTCTGATTTTGTTCCGAACTCTGATTGGGTTTTGTTTCCTGCCTGAGAGTTTGGCTGGCGAGGCGTTTGTGGCAGTGTTGCCATGTACTGTTGGCTGGTTCTGAGTGTAGCCGGAGAGCTGTGCACCATAATTGCTTTTAGAACATTTCTGTCACCCCAAAAAAAACCCCTGCACCCTTGACCAGTCACTGCCCAGCCGCTGCCAAGCACAGGTCCATGGTCTGTGGGTGTGCCTGTTCCGGATGTATCCCAGAAATGGGGTCACACACTGTGTGGCCTTTTTAGTTACCTTTCCATTCATTTTGTAAGTCTTTGCCTCCAACAGAGCTTCGTTTGTTAAGTTTGTTCCCAAGAACTGAGTCTGTTCGCTGCTGTTGGAAAAGGAGTTGCTTTCCTGGCCTTGCTTTCAGGTTGGCTGCTGCTGGCGTATAGAAATGCACCACTGATTTTTATGTCCCGATCTTGTCCCCTGCAGCCTGACAAGGGTTCTTTTCTATGGGCTGGACCTTGGCAGTTAGGCTGCCTCCGGTGGCCCCAAATGCTGTTGACCCAGTGCTTCCAGGGGACAGACCTGGAGAAGTCACAAGTCGGAGTCGTGAGGCTTTTCGTGCTGCTTTTCGTGAGGCTTTTCAGCAGAGGCGCCAAGCTGCACAGATGAAGGGGTCTGTGTGGACCAGTGGCGGAGCTGACACCAGGTCTTGAGCCATCCCAGGAGCCCCTGCGTTTGTCTGCTCTGTGTGTCAGCCCGGACTTGAGTCCCAGGGGAGACCTGGCCTCCTCACGTGTGACCCTGCTTCCTTCTCCTGGGCCTCCTGGTACTCTCTCTGAGTGACAGGGCGAAGCTGTCAGGCACATCTGGAAAGAGAGCAGGTCCACTGTCGGCCTCCTTTCATCTTTCACCACAGAAAACGTGTCTCATTTCCCAGACATCTGCTGGTAGTAGTTGTCCTGATTACAGAATGTGTCCTCTGTTAAGGCCAGTCCTCGAGGGAGGGGAGATGTGCCCCAGGAACCTTTATGGTCGGCTCCCTGACACCTCCAGGGCCTGTAAGCGAAGCACAGCTGCCAAGCCCCCCATCCCCTAGATGAGGTGGGCCACGGGCTGACCGGCCTCGCTCGCCCGCCCTGTAGCTCACAGGGCTGCTTGATGAGTGGTCACCCTCACTCTGCCCTGCTCCCCAGCACCCTCTGCCTTCACTGTTGGCACTCTGTCCGAGAGCCAGCACTCCCTGCAGCCCCCTGCCCCTCCTCGCCAGGCTGCCCTACGGCCTTGGTGGTTGGATGGGGCCTCCGCGTTTCTGTTTTAATTTGGAAACATTTCCCTGGTTCTCCAGGCCTATGGGCCGCAAGGTCCAAGCCATGGTCCTTTCCTGCTCCTGACCCTCCCAGACAGGCCACTCCAGCCCAGGCCTTTTATCTTTCATCTTGTGCTCACAGAGGAGAAGAGCAGTGGGTTCCGGTTGAAGCCGCCGACGCTGATCCACGGCCAGGCACCCAGCGCAGGTAGGCGCCTGCTTTTGAGAGGGTTGAGGAATGGCTTTCTCCCACTCTTCCAGCCTCTGCAGCACCTCTCTGTACAGCCACCCAGCTCCAGGCTCAGCCTGCTCTCTGGGTCCTCTCGTTACCTGACACCTGGGTATTGGGACGCTGCTTGAAAGCACCTGTCAGAACAGGGAGGTCCACCTGCTGGCCTGCCCTCTGCTGCCCTGCAGGGGAGGAGGAGGAGGCGGAGGCGGCAGCCGTGGGGGAGAGGGTTGGCTCAGTGTGGATGCTTGGGCCCTGGCCCAGTGGCAGCTCAGCTGGTTCAGGCTCTCTCCAGAGTGTCCTGGCCCCAGCATGCCACAGCGCTAACCCTGATGAGCCAAGATCCAGTAGCACGCTGCTGGCAAGCAGGGCCTGGCCACGGCACCATGTGGACCCCTCCGGTCCAGCAGGGAGGCCCACGCCAGGCTGGAAGTGTGTTCTCATGGTCTGGCCCCGTTTGTGTTCAAAGAGGGACTTTCTCAATATGGCCTTTTGACAGGCACGCGTAAAGGGTGCCTTTCCCTGACCCCCAGTAGACTCTGGAACTCTGGAGTGTTACCTGTGGTTCACTGCCCTCCTCTCAAACTGTCTGTGCTGGATTCTTGGGTCCCACACCTGGGGACAGCTGCCCCTTCCCAAAGCATTACTGGACTCATGTAGTCCACAGACGTTAGCAATTACGGGGGAGTTTCATTTAATCACTCAAAAATCAACAGCTGAAACCTGCATGTGTAGCTGTGAAGGAACTATTTTGGACTTTTTAAAAAACTGCTGTTCTGCACAATCTGGCCTGTGGGGGTTATCAGATAAGATGCCAACCTTAGCGTTTCTGTAAAGCACCTGAGAGCCAGGGGGTTGTGTTTCCGCCTCGTGCTCTGGGATCCCAGGCACACCAACTTACATCCACAGGTCTGCCCAGCCAGAAGCCCAAGGAGCAGCAGCGGAGCGTGCTTCGCCCGGCGGTGTTACAGGCACCCCAGCCCAAGGCCCTCTCCCCTGCAGGTAAGGACCGCCGCCCCAGGGCCCGGGCTCACGCAGGAGTCAGCATTGTCAAAGTTGCACCTGGGACAGCTGTGTCTTGACACACGTGGCTTGGCCACACCTGCAGAACACATTCAGAAGTAGAGCGTGCTGGAGAGACTGCCCTTTCACCCCCTGACATCCTGAAAGCCAGCCCTCTCCCTGAGCACTTCAGGTCTGGTCCTGCAAGCTTGCAGGCAGAGCTCAGCCCTGGGTGTCCGGGAGACCTGAAGGGTAGCTTGGACTAGATGTGCGTTTTCGTCTTACCTGGCAGGCCTAAGGCATAGCTCTGAGCCCGTCCGGCCATTACACCTGCGCAGGTAGCGGTTCTCAGTCAAGCCTTTATTCTCTCAGCATGAATGAGTCGCTCTTGTCCTCCTCTTGTTCTTTTCTTACAGTTCAAGAACTCTCCATCGCAAGCGACACAATATCCCGCATGCGGGTCACAGTTAATAGTTACGAGTAGCTTTTAATACATGGGAAATTTCTTTTTACATGATCCTAAACAAAGCCTAATTGAAAGCTATGTGTGTCACATAATCCCAACTATTTAAAGGGAGAAACTGCGTAGAATAAAAGTATGGTTAGTAAAACCTGTTTTATTATAAAACTCATTTGTCCCCCCAAAGTATGTATTTTTTCTTTTTTTCCTCCCTAAGTAATAGCATTGCTACAAATACATTGAAAGTTGCTTTGTGGAGTAAGCAATGAAGTATTCTCACTTCTGTGGAGTTTGGGTTTTGTTTTTTTTTTTAATCTAAGAATTTGTGACTTTTAGTAGTGAAGGCAGATCCTTTTCCTAGAAAGGAGAAATTACACGGTTGTCCCAGTGGCAGGCACCAGTGGTAGGAAGGAGCTTAAAGGTGGTATGGCACTAAGCCACCTGTCCCCTCTGTCCCCTCCCTGCAGTCCCGAGCAGCGGCACCAACGGGGTCAGTATCCCAGCGGACTGCACGGGGACAGCGACTTCAGCATCGCCTGACAACCCTGCTCAAAGAAGTCCCTCTGAAGAGGCGCGAGTGCGGGAGGTCTGTCTGCTGGGGCGGGGGTGCCACGTGGCTGGGCAGGGCGGACCTGTCCTGAGGATGGCCTTAGTGGCGCGTAACTGCGGCAAGTTTGTAGAACGCCAAGGGCGGGCTCTTCATGGTCCCCGGAGAAAGATGCCGGGAGTGAAGCTGTGCTGGGGCATCCTTCAGTGCCCCAGCCTAGCATCACTGGGTGGCGGTCCCGCCAGCAGGCACACTAACCACTGAGCTCGGAGTCGCTGGGGCTGGAGGAACGGCTTCCATTGATAAGGGTCTTGCACCATTTTACATGGACAGATGCACCCCCACCCCCTCTCCCCAGTCTGCCCCCCTGAACAACAGCTCAGGGCTTCATATCCGTGTGTCCTCTAGGCAGCGTGTGCCAGGGCGGTCAGCTCAGGGATCGTGTGTTTTTCAGGGCCCTGGGATTATACAGGCCAGAAGCATACATTTTCCAGTAGTGCTGCACAGCAGCTGGAAAATCAGGGGCGTTTGATGAAAAGCCTGCTTTTGCAGTTGGCACAGACGATCTGAAATTTGAGCTGCAGCTCTGCACCAGGGCTTCCCTACGCAAAACCCATCCCTCTCCACGCTTATCTCCACCCAGCTCCGCAGATAAGTGGCTGCCTGAGGCTCTATTCTCCCCACCCCCAGTAGATGGAGGCGCAAATGTTGAAAGTGGTCATCTACAATTCAATTTTAAAACATCCCTGAGCCCCCGCTCCCAGACCACAGTGAAATTGGAAATAGGAATCATTTCCGCAACATACAGCTTCTTGGGAACTGGGGTGGGGCAGCTGGGCTTCAGGTGATGAGTCAGCCGTGTGGCTCTGAGCTGGAGGGAGACCTAAAAGTGACCCAGCCCAGCCTGGGGGTCCGCCTGCATCACCCTCCCTCGGTTGTTCCGTGCCCAGGGACCCGTGCCCGAGGAGATGGACTGAGCCAGTGAGACCGTGTGAGGTGGCTCATCTTGCTTGCTTAGCAGGCCAGTATGTCACTGCGGTTGTCTTGTTTGTTTAACTAGGAGAAAGAGCCCCAGAAAAATGAGTCTAGCAATACTTCTGAAGAGGAAAACTGTGAGAAAAAAGAGCAAATTGCACAGCAGGCGTTTGTGTTCGGGCAGAACTTGAGGGACAGAGTTAAGGTACGTGACAGGGGTCTGCATGAGCTGTTGAACCAATGAATTGATGAGGTTTTTTGCCTCCTCCAAGTTAAACAGAGGAAGTCACTTTTCTTTAAAATGAGGAGAAATTGGGTGGGGACGAAGAGTGTGTCGTGGGGTGTCCTGTGACCCAGGCACAGCCAGCAGTTGCTGGTTGCATACTGTCCACACTCCACTGCTCACTCCTGGCTCGCCCCCGGCCGCCTCCCAGGACGCCTGCCACCCGTCCCAACCCCGGCTGGGACCGAGGGGTGGCTCCTCGCAGCAAGTTCCCCCTTTCTCCCAGGGGCAGGGCACAGGGAGGCAGTTGGTGCACTTGTCCCTGAGAACTGACACTTTTGTAGCAAAGGAGAAGTGAAGTGTGACCGATGCTTTTGACATTGCCAGGGAGATTCTTGTTTCCTTCCTTAAGGGGCTGTGTCTCAGGCCGGCAGCACGTACACCAGATCATTCTTAGTTGTCAGAGGCCCGTCCTGGCATGGGGGCGGGGGGCTGAGCAGCACTCGGCCCCCTCACTCTGTGCCAGGAGCACCCCCAGTCGTGACAACCCAAAAATGTCCCTAAATAGCACTCAGTGTTCCCCATGGGACCAAATGGCCCCTGATTGAGAGCCACCACCTTGCTCTTTACGAAGCAGGTAGAAGGATGCTGTTTTCTCTCCCATAGGAGGCACCAGTGTCTGTCACCTGACTGCCCCCAGGTGTGTTGTTCTAGTCTGGGGACTTTGAGTTGCGGGCCGTGGGTGTCTGGCAGTGACAGGGGCTCTCGGCTCTCGACTCTCGTCCCTGTGACAGGAGCGCTGGGGAGACCAGAGGCGGGCCGCGCTACCTGTCCCAGCCATAGGGCTCCTCCGCCACGGCCCTCTAGCAGCCTGGGAGCCAGTATCAGCGGCTCTGTCTGGGGACAGGGTGTTTGTCACTGCTTGGGACAGGTACTGTTGCTGAGGAGAGTGGGTGGGGGCCGGTGATGGTGCTCCCACCCCACAGGCCCCAGGGCGGCCCCACTGAGAGCAGCCCGGCCCCAAGTGCCTGCGGGGAGAGCCTGAGTTGAGGCAGCGGTCCGCAGGCTCTCCACACATGGAGAACGGCAGCCATGCCGTCTGCTCTATCCTTGCTGCTCACTGTCCAGTAGGGACACAGATGCCCCAGGGATGAAATGAGCTGGTGTTGCATGGCATTAGCCAAAACAGTAAGTCCCTTGGGGGCTGGGGGAACCCAGAGAAGGGAGGTCCTTGAAGTCCCACTCCACAGCGATGGGGCTGACTGCCCGTCAGACTGAGGCTGCTCCCCAAGGTCAGAGGGACAGCTGCCTTGAAATCGGGGTGGGAGCAGTGTCTCGTGGAGGGCCCAGGGTTCCCGGGAGCATTCCTCTAGGTGGCGCTATGTTGAGGGGAGCTGGCATGGCAGTTGGCATAAAAGGAACCCCCGTGAAAGAATACCACTGTTTCTAACAAGCCCATGAAATACCAGCTTTGAAAGATGGTGTGATCTCAGTATAGGAGCAGCGGTGGAAACACCAACTTGAGTGGTTTTAAACTGCATACAAAAGTTCCTTAATGCCCGGTGCACCGTTCCTGTATCTAGACTGTTCAAAGCAAAACGTGGTGACATTTCTTACAGTGCCCCACCCCTGTCCCAGCATGCACCCCCCGCATGTAGGCCGTAGGCTTTGCATCGGGGCCAGGCTGTACAATGTACGGCCTGTGCAGACACACTGAGCTAGGGAGGGCCAGGCCATTCTCTGAGGAGTCAGGATTTCCTCTCTGTTTCCAGTTAATCAACGAAAACACTGAAGTGGCTGACATGGAGAATGCTGGGCACCCCAGTTCAGAAACACCGACTGCGACCAACTATTTCCTTCAGTATATCAGCTCCAGGTGTGTGTCTGGGCCTGATGCTCAGCCTTCGGCCCCTGGCCAGCCGCCATCCCTGCCGGAGGGCCCAGAGGGAGGCAGTAGGGCCTGGACCGAGAACCACCCTGGGTGGGGAGGTGTGGGGGTAGGTGCGTGTCAGCATGTCACACAGCACCTGTGTGCGGGTGTATGCTGGCAGGCGGGAGCTGAGGGTCTGTGGTTCCGTCTGGCGCAGCGAGGCTTGGAGGTGTGCAGGCACCTGTCCTGGCATGCCGGCCCATCCACCACAGGTGGAGACAGACAGTGCCTGGGCTGTGGCCTGGGCTGTGTTCTCGCCCCAGGACTTGGCCTCTTACCCACTCTGACCAAGCATGGGTGTGACTGCACACACTTGCCCGTCCCTTCCTCTGCGGACACCCCGGCTCACAGTGCATCTTCTCTGCAGTTTAGAAAACTCGACCAATAGTGCCGATGTCACCAGCAACAAATTCGTCTTTGGCCAGAACATGAGCGAGCGTGTGTTGGTGAGTGGTCCCTGGGGGCCTGCTCTTCCAGGGACCCAGCAGGCTTCCAGAGCCTCCCCGAGTCAGAGGGACAGCATGGCTTCCACAGTGTCTACTGGAGAGTGAGGTCCTCTCATTCACAAGAGAAAGGAGTCCCAGCTCCTGCTTAGCCTAAAGCCAGGGCAGGGCTGCTGTGCCTGTGGCCCCGGGAGGTGCTTCCAGAGTGCCTGCTCCTGTGGCCTGCCCTCCCTCTCTGCAGGCCAGCTTAGCGTCATCCCAAGGCAGGTGCCCCTTGAGCCAGGGGCCAGCCGGCTGCAGTGACAACCAGCAGACCATAGTCCTTACCCCCCGGCTGCTGGGACCACCTGGGCAATCTCGAGCCAAGGGAGGTCAGCTCCTCGCCGGCCGTGACACTGCAGCTCATTGGGTGGCCTCGGCGGGGCCCCACCAGGACCACCCAGACACCATCCTGTCCATCCCCTGCAGAGCCCGCCCAAATTCAGTGAGGTCAGTTCAGATGCCAACAGGGAACACACGGCTGCCGAGTCTGGGTCTGAGTCCTCATCCCAGGAGGCCACCCCCGAGAAAGGTATGCTGAGAAAGGATCTTGTGGGCAGGGGTACCAAGGACAGGGCATTGTCCATCCTCCCTGCCCGGGAGGGATGTGGCACCACCTGGCCGCAGCACAACGGCCACGTGTGGGCCAATTCTGCTTCTGCAAGTCTGAAAGCCATGGGTGCTGGTTTTCAGTGAGCAGAGAGGGGACCCATTCATCTTAACGCAGTGAGGCCCATGGCACTTGGAGGTGACTTGGGGGTAAGGTCACCCCCACCCCCTGAGGCAGCAGAGGGGGTGGTTCTCTTCAAGGCCCTGTCAGTAGTCTGGCTGTCCCGTTCCCTCTGGCATGGGAGAATGGGAGATCCAGGGCCCGCCCATTCAGGCCCAGGCGTGGCCTGCCAGGGGTAGTGGCACCCCTTTGCCCCCCAAGAGGTACACGCCGTCTCCCCACCAAACAGTCACTGTCGTTCAGCTGGTAACATTTCAGAGTCCCTGGCTGAGTCTGCGGCAGCCTACACCAAGGCCACGGCTCGGGGGTGCCTGCTGGAGAAAGTGGAGGTCATCACCGGGGAGGAGGCCGAGAGCAACGTGCTGCAGGTGAGGGGCGGCGCCCCGGCTGCCCTGTGCACGGGCTCCGGCCCAGGGCTCAGCTGTCCTCCGGTGCTCAGCCCTCCCGCAAGGCCAAGGCTTTTCTTGAGAGCCTAGCGAGCCAGCAGGGCTTCTTGTATGGCTCTGCTTTGGGGCCGAAGGATCTGCTCCGAGGCTCAACAGTTCAGGGAGTTAGACTGTTGTAACGGGCACCTTCTCTCACCCCCCCAGTTATCGGCTGTGACTGTGGCGTTGCGCTGGTACCCCGAGCTGTCCATGAGAGCAGCAGCCGAGGTGCAGCCAGCCCCACCCCATGTCCCTGTGCCCTCATCCCCACCTCCCCTTTCCAAGGCAGCCATCCAGCCCTGTGTGCCTCGTTCAATGCCTCTTCCCACCCCCACACATATGTCCATGAGTCCTGGACGTAGCGTGCTGGGGACTTGGCACCACGAGGCTTTCGGCAGCAGCCCTCCCCTTCCCGTTCTGTTGTTCCACTGTCTGCTCCGCCCAGGGCCACGGCTGGCCTCTGCTGCCTGGCCTTCTGTCTGGTATGGGACAGCTTTGCTAGCCACAGCGCAGGGACTGTGAACTTCACCCTTGTACAGTGTCCAGCTGAGTGGCTTTTAGCACATTCAGATTGTGCGGCCATCACCACTGTCTCATGTAGAACAGTTTTGTTCCCCAAGAAGAAACCTTGTGCCTGTTAGCAGGCACTCCCCACCCCCTCCCAGCCCGTGACACCCACGAGCCCACATTGTGTCTGTGGATTCGCCTATTGTGGACGTGTCACAAAAATGGGGTCACACGTCATGTTGCCTGTGTCTGGTGTCTCACTGAGCACCATGTGGTCAGGGGCCATGTGACACATGTCAGGGCTTCACTCCTTTTTGTAGCCGAGTGACATTCTTGTGTGTGGACAGACAATTGGGGTTGTTTCCACTTCTCAGCTATTGTGAATCATGCTGTTATGAACATTTGTATACAAGTTTTTATGTAAACAGGTTTCATTTCTCTTAGATAGATAGCGAGGAGGGAATTTCTGGGCCATGTGGTAGCTCTGTGTCTAACGTTTTGAGGACCCGTTTTCCATTTTCCATATCCACCAGCAGTGTGTGAGGTTCTGATCTCTCCCCACCCTCCGCACTACCTGCAATTGTCTTTTGTCATAGCCGGCCTAGTGGGTATGAAGTGGCATCTCATTGTGGTTTTGATTTGCATTTCCTTAATGATTTTTTTAATACCCCTCTAAAACTGTGGAAGTCCATTCTAGCTCTAGGGCAGGACAAAAAACTGGCTTAGAGCCAGATGTGGCCCCCAGGCCAGTTTGCTGATCCTGGTGGTTCCACATGGGTTAGACAGAGGCTCCAGGGTCCATCCACCCGTAGCAGCATCTGCTGGCCAGGGTCCCTGCTCACCCAGAGGGCTGCCTTGCGTTCCAGATCCAGTGTAAGCTGTTTGTCTTTGACAAGACGTCCCAGTCGTGGGTGGAGAGAGGCCGGGGGCTGCTCAGACTCAACGACATGGCATCGACCGAAGACGGGACGTTACAGTCCCGACTAGGTGAGCTGCAGTGGGGTCCTGAGGGAGAAGGCCAGTGTGGCGCAGACCCCGAGGCAGTGAGGTCCCTGCCAGAGGGCCCCTGGCACCCATACCCTGTGGCCAGCTGGCTCCAGCCTGACCCAGAGGCTGGCCCTTCCCTGACTCTCCTCTCTCCGAGCACAGAAGCAGGTAAAAATACTCAGCAGAATATATATAGTCATTGCCCTGTTGACAGGCATTCAGGTTGCTCCTGAAGTGTTTTACTACCTTAAGTAATGCTGCTGGGCTCTGTACACAGCAGTCTTACCCCGGAAGTGTGCTTGCTACAGAAATGTGTGCGTACACGTACATGTGTACATATTTGAAGAGAATCAGCATGTACACGCATGTATGTGGAATGTGTGTGTCCTTTATATTTATCCCCCAAATGGAAGCTGCTCCCCAGCCCTGCAGAGACAGCGACCCTGGCCTCCAGTGGCCACGCTGCATCTTTTCAGCAGTGTGCAGTGCACCTGGGCTCAGACTTGTCCCCAAGGTGGGAGCAGAGACAGAATGGCCCTCCCACTGGGGCACCAGTTTCCCCCCACAGACATCCCCTCAATTTCTTTGTCATTTTTGCCTATGAAAATGTTCAAAGTATGTGGAAGAAGTGAGCAGAGCGCCCCAGCCCACGGCTCACTGCCCTCTCCTCCCCTCAGTCCTCAGCCGAGCTGGCAAGGTCCCAGCTGTGCCTGCCGGCCAGCATTGAAGCCCAACCCAGCCCTCTGCTCTCACCGCACACAGACCTTCCGCGGAGCCCGTCCTGGCTGCTCCCCTTGCCCCAGAGGCGGGCTCAGAGCCCGGGACCACGCCTCTCAGGCCTCCCCGGGCTGCTCCCCGGTCCGGGTGGCTGTCCAGGGCCCTGTGTTGGGTTGGGGAGAGCTGGGCCTGCAGAAAGGCAAGGCGTCCCTTGTGCCCACGACAGGGCCAGGGCCTGGTCAGGTAGGGTTCGTGTCAGGCGCCCTTCGGGTTTTCTTCACCCCTGGGCTGCCCTCAGTCTGCCCGCCTCCTTCCTCCTGGATGCTCTGAGCAGCCGTCGGTCTCAGCCTCCCCCCCGCCTCTCCCCTGACCACCCGCTCCCCCGAGGTAGCTGCCGCCCGCCCACTGCATGGGCCAGCAGAGCCCTCCATGCGCCGGATGTGGCCTCTGCCTCCACCCATGGCCTCAGTGGTTCTGGGTTGGGGGAGCCAGGTGATGCCCCAGTATATGGGGGCTTTTGCTCAGCAAAGTGGGGGGAACCCCCAGCTTTCATGGACCTTGGAATTGTGGGGTTTCCTCCTTGTGGTGTTCGCTTACCCCCAGTGTATGTCCTCCCCACTGGCTGTGAGGCAGGGATGGGGACCAGGGCTGAGTGGCCTTGTTGGTTACAGTGATGCGGACCCAGGGCAGCCTGCGGCTGATCCTCAACACCAAGCTGTGGGCCCAGATGCAGATCGACAAGGCCAGTGAAAAGAGCGTCCGCATCACAGCCATGGACACCGAGGACCAGGGCGTGAAGGTCTTCCTGATCTCGGTGAGGCCCGGGCCGCCTGGGCTACTGCCTGCCTTGGGGCAAAGAGCTGCCCCGACAGTCCCCCAGGCAAGGGTGGTGCTCACCGGAGCCACCCCAGAAGGAGGTCCTCAGGAACCCAGTTGGGCACCACTCTGCAGGGAGTTCCTTGGCAGAACTGCACTGAGGGGGTGGGCTGGGGGACACGAGGGCGGCCTTTAGTGGGCCAGTCCCCAGAACAAGCATGTGGAGACAGGTGGGTGGGTGAAGGGCAGGAGTGCATTGCATCACCAGATGGCAGCTCAGCTGCAGGTTCCGGGAGTCCCCAGGGAGGCCAGCCCTGGGCCTGTGGGAGCCATGGGGGCTGCTGCCTCCAAGCTGGTAAGGAGAGGGGCACAAGTCCCGTCACAGCAAGGGACGTCGCCTACCCACGAGGAGGCAGCCTCCCCCCAAAGCCTTGTCGCCCAGCTCTTCCCTCTGCCCCCCAGGCCAGCTCCAAGGACACGGGCCAGCTGTATGCAGCCCTGCACCACCGCATCCTGGCCCTGCGCAGCCGCGTGGAGCAGGGCCAGGAGGCCGAGGCACCTGCCCCCGAGCCGGGGGCAGCACCATCCAATGAGGATGACAGCGACGACGATGACGTGCTGGCTCCGTCAGGGGCCCCAGGAGGTGGTGAGCCAGGCAGTCCTTGCCCTGCAGGGTGTGAGGAAGCTGGTTTCCTAGGCCCCTGCTCCCTACAGTGGCCAGCCCAGCACTGACCTCAGGGAGTGGGGGGCATAGTGCAGGGGGGGCTCCCTCCAGGGCAGGAAGCTGACAGCCCGGCCACTCCTTCCCACAGGCACTGGTGACGAAGGGGATGGGCAGACGGCCGGGAGCACATAGCGCCGGGAGCCGGCTGCCCGCGAGCCTGCTGCTTTGTCCGTCTGCCCGCCCGCCCTCCCGCCCCCACCCCGGCAGCGTGGAGGTGAGGGTCTCGGGAACCACACTCCCCGCTGGGTTGGCTGCAGTCTGGATCCGCACGTCCCGTTCAGAAGCAGACTCGGGGACTGCCTGAATGTGGTTTGGGACACGAGACCTCATCATATTGATGAGCAACACAAAGAGAACATTTCCCCTCCCCTCTCGGAATTGAAATGGCACATTAAGACTTGTCACGGCTTCCCACTGGGACTGGGCGCCTGGTCTCTTCACCTTCCTCGCCGTGGCGCCGGTCTCTCCCCGCTGGCCTGCGCACCGTGTAAGCGCCAGGCCTGCTGCCCTCAGTGTCTCCCACCTTCCACACTGATCTGGGGCCTGTATTTCAGTTCTCCCTCTTCCCCCAAGGCTTTCGGGGTTCCTAGGTCAAGACGCTGCTTCCTGTGCGGTGAGCAGGCCCAGCTCCATCACTTCCACGTCCTCCTCCCTGGGCCCTGGCCCCAGTGCCAGGGCCTTTCCAGGGAGCTGGGGGCACTGGGGGTCCCCTTGTTCCCCACCTGGGTTCCTGCAGGCCACATCATGGGGTGATGAGAGGTGAGACCCCAGGCCTGGAAAGAGCTCACCCGCAAGAGGGTCCCTGGCCCTGGGCAGGTCCCTGCTTCTGCTGTTGGCAAGTCCTTGCCCAGCCATGGACCTTGCTGCCCCTGGGCCATCCTGGGCAGGGGCCTCTGTGAGAGGCGGGGAGCCCTGGCAGGGCCTGCGAGGATGGGGCGGGGACTGGTTTCGGACAGCGCTCACAGCACCCCCACCGGGAGCAGCCAGAGCCGCCGGGTGCCACCCGCCTGGGGAGGCCTGGGACGGTCCCTGTGCGCGGGGCCTGACGGGTTCCCGAGGAAGCTGCCTGGCTCGCCCTCCGAGGGCAAGGAGAAGGCCTGGTCTCCACGGCTGTGCCGCCCTCCCCGGGCGTGGCCTGAGCCTGGGAGGGAGGACACCAGAGGCCCTCCAGCAGGTCCATCACACTTCTCTGCTTTAAGCCTTAGCCAGCTAGTGACAAGTAAGACCAGATAACGCCCATGTGTTTTGGAACATTTATGTAAGATTGTCATATGAAATGTATTTGGGAACTACATTAAAACTTTTAACTAAAACCCTGGCCTTCCACATGCCCCAGGGGCCTTAGGAAGCCAGCCAGCCTGGCCCGGAACGGCCTCTGCCTGACCCGCATGCCACACCTGGGCAGGTGACCAAACCCCAGCTGCTCTCCAATGGCCGCCTCTGTGCAGAGCTTCACTTCACAGGAGGCCGTTGGCTCCCCGCCCAGGGGCCGCCTGGCTTCCCAGGGGACCCACGAGGGTGGGGGTAGGCCCAAGGAGTCACAGAGAAGAACAGGAGGCCCAAGGGGAAGTAGCGGCTCGGTGAGGCCTGGGGGCAGCCTGGCCTTGGCAGGGACGGCCTTTCTCCCTAGGGTCCTGAGCCAGTGACCCATCCTTGGAACCTCTGCCCCACTTAGGCCCAGTGGCCAGGCAGAGCCCTTCCGAAACCAAGTCCAGCTGGTTCTGCAGCCTCAAACCTCCCCACCCTGGGGCTGCCTATCCTCAGGCCCAGGTGGGTGGGGCCAGCGCAGTGCATGTGCTGTTCACAGCCGCCAGGCGCTGGTCACCATAGCCACGAACTCCTCGTCTGTTTCCACAGAGGCGCTCACGCCACTGTAGTAGTCCTGGAACTCATCCAGCGTGACCTGTGGGTGGCCAGGCTGTAAGTAAGAAGCGGAGGCCTGGGGCGGGGGGCACAGCCCTGGCACCCACCTGCCCATCCTTCTCAGAGGAGTCAAAGTTGTCCAGGAAGCGGCGGAGCACGTCCTCCTCGGTCCACTCGCCGCTCCGCACCTTGGGGTGGGCACGGCCACTGTACAGCCCCCGGAGGTCGTCTACCGTCACCACGCTGTCCCCACTGCGATCCAACTTGGCGAACGCAGCTGCAATGACTGCCTCCCGAGCCTGGGACATGGGGGGCTGGGGGAGGTGGTAACTGGAGGGGGACCCAGCCCTTCCAGGCATTAAGCACACACAGAGTTCAGGGCTTCCTGAGCAGGTGTCTCTTAGTGACGGGTTCCTGGGTGTCTGGTGTGTCCACACAGACATAGATGATCCCCCAGAGAGCATGGTACCCCCTGGGCAGTGGGGGCAGGACTCACCCGTAGTGCCCGCAGGAACTCCCCCAGGTCCAATGTCCCACTGCCATCGCGGTCCCAGCGCTTGCACACACCCTCTGCCTCGGCTGTATCCAGCTGCAGCCCCAGCTCAGCCAGGCCCCGCTGGAGCTCCCCTGCATCCAGGGACCGGTTCCTGTCCCGGTCCAGGCGGCGGAAAAACCTGGGGAGCAGAGGATTTATTTGCAGAGAGATCCCTGGGGTCACAGTGGGAAAGGTACATGGAGACAACTTACCTGGCCAGACCCTGAATGCTCGAGGCCCCTCGGGATAGGCACTGTGCTCGGAGCTTCTCCATGGTGGCATCCACAGCATCCATGCTGGATCTGGGCTGTCTGGGCAGCTAGAAGGGAGAGAGCTCGGAGGGTACGTACTCTTCAGCCTGCCAGGCTATGAGCTGGTGCCCCCCCACTCACTCACCTGGACTTTGTTGGTCCTGGAGTCCTCCAGACAGCAGTTTGGCTGGCTCTGCCCACTTTGCCCAGAGTTGTTGGTGTGTCCTTCCCGGCAGGGCGGTTGCTAAGGGACGGTGGCTCCGGAGACTGGGAGGGGCCCCAGCTGTAACCCTCAGTGTACCGGGGCCTTGTGGCCCTGGGAGGCCGAGAGGCATGAGGCAGGGCTGTTGCCAGCTCCAGTGTCCTGTGTGTCCTGCTTGCCCACTTGCAGTCGTATCATGCCCAGGCCCAGACTGGGAGGCATGGGGAAGGGGTCCCCCAGCTCCTGCAGGGACCACAGGGTCCTGGGTGGAGGAGGCAGGCCGTGTACAGGGAGATTCAAGGGCAGGTCCCCTCCCCTCTCTGGGCTCCATGGGCCCTCTGCCCCATTTCATGGTGCCAGCAGCCAAAACTGTCGAGGGGTCCAAGTTCAAAAGAGGTCCAGGTGGCCCAGGCACACACCCAGTGCTGGCTGAGCCACAACCCAGCGGAGTCCTACAGATGTTTCAGCATGAAGGTGGACAGAGCAATTGCTGGTAATTATGTAGGGGCCACGCCACTTGTGGTGTTTTTGGTGAACCAGTGGGCTGCAGTACCAAACAGAAGTGGCCCTGATCCCCCACATAACCCAAGTGGAACCACAGCCACTGTGGCATCACAGACTTGAGACATCTTCCCTAAGAGCATTACACCACCAGGCAGGAGTAAAATGATGGGGTTCCCAGGATGGAAAACAAAGGCCCTGGACAGATCAGAGACGGCAAAGCCTTGACTCAGCGCAGTGGTGGTGTCCGGAGTCGCGGTCCGGAGCCAGCCAGCATGGACTGAAGCGGCAGCTGACACAGCACTGGCAGTTTCCATGAGAAGCTGCAGTGACATTGCCCTGCAGAAACCTGACGGCTTGCTGCAGCCCAGAGCTCGTCGTGTGGGCGGAGTACGCTGCTGTGTTAGGAATGTTGCCACGAACATGAAGTTTTTCTTCTCTAGAAAAATGTAAAATGTAACCACGATGATTGTAGCTCTGGGCATCTTCTCATCTTTCACCAAGTCAGATGGGGAGTGGCCAGGGCCCTCCCCAGTGTGGAGTCCGCTGCAGTTGACCACCAGCCTCACTTCCCAGAACTGCAGAATGGGGCAGGCCTGTGTCCATCGGTGGCTGCGGGGCTTAGAGCCATGCACGTGGAGTGCCTGCACAGGCACTAGGGACCCATGACTGTACCTTGGGTTCCCCTCACCCAGCAGGGACCCACCCTGGGTCAGGAACAGTGCAGAGGCCCCCCCCTCCATCCTCCCACCCCAGGATGAAAGGAAGCACCAAGGCCGATAAATCTGGTTTATTCTTGAGCACAGACAGGCCCCAGCCTGCCTTCTTGTGCAATCAGCACCCCTTATTCATCCAGAAGAGAAAACGGGCCATTGTTACTACACTGAGGGGTCACTGTTAGACGCCAGGCAGGCAGGAAGGCAGCACCATCCCGAGGGCTGGGGATGGATGCCAACCTTTCCGGACTGAAATGGGCCCTGCCCCTCGGCGGTTCCCAGTGGGACAATTCCCTGAGTGAGGAGGCCGGGAACCGGCTGCTAGGGCACCAGGCTGGGCACTTTGTCTGGACAGAGGAGGGCACAGGGTTCCCTGGTTTGATAAAAGTAAAGTGCCCTGAATGTTTCTGGCCGGGAAGGGCAACATAGAAACCAGTTAAAAAATAGATTCTTTAGGAAATATAAAAAGGAGCCAGGCGCTTGCAGCAAAAGCTGTGGCTGGCCTGGGGTGCACACCAGATGTGCTGGGGGCCCCTGGCTCCCTTCAGGGCCCACAATCCATCCTGTTCCACAAGGGTCCCAGGATGTGCTAGGCACTATTGGCAAACAGAACAAAACCCTACCCTCGTGGACCTTACAACCTAATAGAGGTTCCCTAAAGAAAATACGGGGCAATGTGGGGAGGGCAGGATTCCTCCAGTTAAGGTGGTCAGGGATGGCCTCTGAGATAAGACCTGCGACTAAAAACCTGAGTAAAGGGGCCGGTCATGTGACATCTGGGGGAAGAGCATTCTCAGCAGAAGGAACAGCCCGAGGCAGGTGGCTATCCAGAAAGCCGTGCTTGTGGAGTTGCCTGCACGAGCACCAGGGCCCCATAACTGTCGGGGTCGGCCCAAGTTTCCCTGGGCAGCACAGCCTGGCTGCCAGCACCTCGGCATGTGCTACACGCACACTCCTTTCTGGGTTAAAGGCTGAGGGAAGGACAGAGCTAGGAAAAAAATATCCAGGATTCTTAAAGTTTGTCTTCAAATAGCCAGTGCAAAAGAGAATGAATCTTGAAGCCCCCAGTTCTGGGATAAAGAGTAAGAAACAGTGATGGGAGGAGCTTCAGGAGGAACAAAAATCAGGGTGGTGGTGGCGGTGGTGGGGAGAAAAGCCCCAATAATGTGGAACTTGAGGCATCTGACTCCTCCCAAGAGATCTCTAGCTCCGATGCTTCAGGAGCCAGATATCTGGCTCTGAGAGAGATGAGGGGGCCAACTGAAACTCACACTCTGGCTAAGGAGGGTATCCTGGGCTCAGATCCAAGCAGGCATGGCCAAGTCTAAAGCCAGAAGTACAGATTTTTGTGTAAACGTTGCTAATTTTTCAACGTTTGATTGATTCAGTTTGTTTAAAAAAAAAAAAAAAGTCAGCCTGGTCCAAACATCTGCATTTGACCTGCCCGCTGCCAACCTATTGACATTTTAGCAGGTTCTGATGCTTGGAAAGGATTTTGGCTGTACCGCGGGGTCCCCTTTGGGACACTGATGACTCCCGAGGACACACATAGTGGCCAAAAAAGTCCCCACTGGGCCTTCTGTCTCCATTCTGGAATCTGTGCTCCGGGGCTCACACGGTGGTCCCAAACACTGCAGGCTGGAGGTGGTCCCTGTCCCCCTCAGCCCCAGTGCTGTTGGCAAGGGGTGGACTGGGCAGGCCAGGCAGTGGGTGGCTGGGATCACTCGCTGGCAGGGGCCCCAGGCGCTCGGCTTCAGCCAGGGCAGCCAGTAGCCCAGCCAGGGGCGGCCGGCGGTGACAAATATCCTGCAGTAGCTCAGCGCGCAGTCGCAGCTGCGCGACGAGCTCGTCCCTCTGGCGCAGGGCAGCCTGCAGGCTACGGACGGCAGCCTCAGAGGTCAGCAGTTGCTCTTGGAGAGTGGCAATCTCACTGGCAAGAAAACAAAACGGCAGTTGTGGCACCGAGATGCCAGTTTCTCGTCCCTGCTCCTGACTTGCAGGGCTCCCCACATCACTGTCAGGATAAAAGGCAGCTCTTTCCCACGGCTTCAAGCCTCTGCCACAAGTCACCGCGGTTATGGACTGAATGTTTATGTACTCCACCCTCCCAATTCATATGTTGAGTTCTTACTCCCCAGTGCGACGGTGTTAGAAGATAGAGCCTTTGAGAGGTCAGTAAAATTGGATGAGCTCATGAGGACGGGGTCCTCAAGGAATTCCCACTCTTAGGAAGGAGACAGACAGCAAGGGAGCTTGCTTGCTCTCTGCCATGTGAGGACACGGTGAGAAGATGACTGCAAGCCAGGAAGAGAATCTGTCATCAGGAACTAAGTCTGTCAATACCTTGATCTTGGACTTCCCAGGCTGCAGAACCGTAAGAACGAAATTTCTGTTGTTTAAGCCCCCCAGTCTGTGGTATTCTATAATTGGCAGCCTGAGCAAGCAGCACACCCCTCATCGCCTGCATTTCCCTTTCCTCTACATCTTTTCCTATTTGTTGTTCAATTTAGATGGCTCCTCCTCCAGGAAGCCTTCCCTCTGGACCCCCTCAGGTTCCTGTGGGCCACTCCATCACAACCCCCATCGCTGTAACTGCCTAGTGACGTGTCTGCCTAAGGGGAGGGCTGTGTAGGCTTTACCAGTGTGCCCTAGTTCCCGGCATTGTGCCTCGCACATAGTAGGTGCTCAGTCAAGATGACTGAATGAATCCAGCTCGCTCTGAATTATTTTCCACCTGGGCCCCAGCACCACCCCCAACCCCTGCGCTTGTCGCATCCCTTTCAATACTTAGCTGCGGGAGGAACTCTTCAAAACTGCTGATGTGATCCCGCCCTCGGCTAGAGAACCTGCCACCGCTCCCTATACCTACACCAGGAGGTCGATGGGGCCCTGCACCAGTCAGTACCAGCCGATTTTGCCTATGGTTAAATGGTCTGTTTTACAAAGTTAGAAATCCACACCTGTGTAAAACCTCAGCTTTACATGCTGACGACTAATTCAAGTTTTCTGGAGTTTTTAAAAATCTAGTCTCCATGTGGACGCACATGGTTCCCCCGGCCGGTCCTCCCGTCCGCATCCCGGCTCCGCCTCCGCCCGCCTCCTGGGAGAGTCCACCTGGACGCCTCGGGCCTCACCGGTCCTTGGCGCGGCCCAGCTCGTCCAGGGCGGCGCGCATCTGCTGGTCGTGACGGGCCAGGCGCTCGGCCTGGGTGCTCACCGTGCGCTCGGCCGCGTCCAGCTGCGCCTCTAGCTCCGCTGCGCGCCGGTGCACGGCCGCCAGGTGCGCGTTCGCCTCGCGGATCTGCAGCGGCGGCGGTGCGGACATGGCCCAGGCCGCTGTCCAGGCCCCGCCACGCCCCCGCGGAACCGACCGCCTCCGGACGACCCGGCACCCGGAGGCCCGCTCGCGACTTGGCGAGATTGGCCGCGCTCCTGCTAGTCCCCGCCCACCTCAGGCCAGAATCCCGTCACTGGTTCCGGCACCTCGAAACTCCGCCCCTGAGCCCGGCCTAGCTCCAAGATTGGCCAACGCCTTGGCAGACCACGCCCACAGTTTAGCCCACGCCTCGGGGCGGTGGTGGGTGCGCTCAGTTACTGGACTGGCCACTCCTTCTAGGCACGTCCCACCCTACTCAGAAGCTAACATTAGGATTGGTACAGATACCGGGGCCCAGAGGCCTGGCCACGCCCCCGAAATCGGCGGCGCCTCTGAGTCACAATAATTGGCCATGTCCCTTGCCTCCGGTCTGGCCACGCCCCCAAGCCGAGCGCATACTTCATTCGGCCCGGGCTACGACGAGCAACTTGAGCGCAGGACACGGATCCTACCACTAGGATTGGTCTCTTTCCCGTTAATCCCGCCCCCAAGTCTGATCACGCCCCAAAATAGTCGCACGCGGTCCAGACTCCAGCCCCAACACTGATTCCGGCGCTGGGAGTTGCCACATCTCCGCCGTGACCCCTCTGTCCCATACTTACATCCTGCTCCTATCGAGCGGAGTTTCGCCCCGCGCCCTAATCCGTGCATGGGTATAACCGGTCACAGTCCCGCCCCTAAGCAAGCCTCACCCCCAGGCGTCAAACCATTCCTAACCTGGGGTCTTCTGAACTGGAACTAGCGAGATCTGCCTTCACTGATCCTGGTTGGCCTCAGTCTCCCCTCCAGAAATCAGCCACGGGTGCACGCGCTCTTCCTTCACTTCAGTCCCGACCCCGGCGTGTGCGCTCGACCCAGGTGTATGCTCTTCGCATTCAATAAAGTTGCGCGCTTGTTGTCCGCCCGTCCGCACGGGGGCTGCGCGCGCAGCCCAGGAAATCTCGCGAGAGCGAGCGGAGGCTGCCCTTGGGTGCAGGGAGCCGGCGGGGTGTGTGGAGTTTAGCCCCGACTGCGCGGCCATGGTGCAGTCGCCGTTTCACCAGTACTGGGACATCCCCGACGGCACCGAGTGCCACCGCAAGGCCTACGCCAGCACCAGCATCGGTGGTGCCACTGGTGAGCGTTGCCCGGGCCGCGAGAACGGAGGGCGCAGGAAGGTCGTAGGGTCTCTGGGGGCTGTCCGGGGGCATTCTGAGAGGTTGTCGGAGGGTGTCAGGGCGCCTGGGGCGGTCATGGGACGCTGGGGAACTCTTGTGCGAGGTAGACTTTGTGGGGGTGTCGGACTAACTCAGAGGGTGCAGGATGGTTATGGGGTCACTGGGAGCTGTCCCTGGGGGCTGGGAATCTCGCGGGGTGACACGTGGTGGTTAGTGGGGTGTCTGGGCGGCCATGGGGAACTCGTGTGCGGGGGGATCCAGCAGGCTTGGAGGGCTCCGAGGGGTCGTGGTGCGTGTGACAGGCTGTTCACCTTGGTCGTCAGAAGCGGTCCTTGGGTGCTGGATTTGGGGGTATTATGGAACGACCACCAAGCTCTGAGCA